CAAGCCGTCAGCAAGATGCCTTTTCCTTGGCAGCGCAACAAGTAGCCGGAAGAATACTCACAGGGCACCCATGGACAGACACGGCAACACCAATCTTTTGCTTCAGCGGCAGCCTCAGCGTCTTCAGCACGGGCAGCGGGCACACGACGGTCGTAATGTCGGTGAAGATGCCCAGGCTCGCCTGCACAAAGTAGAAGACGGGCCGGTTGATACAGACGGCCGTCGTCGCGTGCTCAAGCGCCCACGATCCGGCAATCGGGTTGCAGCTGAAGACGTTGACGAGGGCGCAGGCGAGCGAGTAGCCGACGGTGAAGCCGAAGAGGACCCAGACGGTCCAGACCATCTTGCGCGAGGGGAAGATGCGCAGATAGAAGAGCAGGATCGAGCCCTTGGCGAAGCCTGTTGCAAGGCAAAAGAAGATGGCCGCCAGCACGTTCGTGAGCATAAAGTTGGGATAAAAGTCGGGCGTCATGGGCACGTTCCAAAGGTGCTTTCCGAGGCCCCAGTTGAGCACTACAACATCATGGATTAGTATACTGCATGTCGGTCGATGTCATGGTATCGAGACTTACTGTGCCACACAAAGGCGACGAGGGCTGTGCCGCAGAGCTGCAACTTGTTAGACGATATTCGAACGACATTTTAAGTTTCGATAAGGTTCGATTTACCAGGGCGCCGATCATGATGTCTAAGGGAAAACGCGAGTCAGCCTCAGAAGACCATGCCAAAATCCATAAAGCAGGGGTGCTTAACGTACAATCATCCAGGGAGACCATGCGGATAATGGCCGCTCTTGTCCAGATCCGCGCGACTGTCGAAAGAACGGCCAAGGCAAAGCTGATGCCCGACACGATCATGAGCGCAGTCGCTTGTGGCGCCGCAGTCGGATCACGCACATAGCCTCCGGCACGGGCGCAACGTACATAACCCCATCCTGCATCGACATGGTGTCCAACTGCGGAAAGAGGACAACAAGAAACAGTTGCCGTTGCGCTGACGAAAAGAAAGTCCTCGGTCGATGATGGACAGAGGAACCCAGAGAAGCAAGGAACAAGGCCCCGACCAAACAGTCAAGTGGGCAAACCAAGGCACAGGATGGGAATAAAGGGGAATTTAGGAACAAGAAGGGGAGGGAGAGAGAGAGAGATGGCGGAACGAGATTTCGAGACGAACGCCTTCGTACTCGGCGAGGGAACTGCCGACCGTTTGTATATTTTTGGGGGGACACTCCCGCCCTTCCATCTCTTTTTTTCGGGGGGGTGTAAAGATCGTTCTTCTTGTAAAAACAGGGTGGGGGGGGCGTTCCTTTTTCTTTGCCCGGCCTAACTAAAAACCGCGGCTTTCCCACCACCTTTTCCGCTAGGGGGAAGAAAAATTTTCTTTGGGGCTCGGCAGTCCTTCTTTCCCGATCCCCCCCCCCTTAATAAAGGGGCGGGTCAGGGCCGCGCGCCGGGCACACAAACCTTGCCATGGGAAACCGTTGCTGCGGTACCCCCCTCCCCCCCCCCCCTGGCCCGGCTCTTTTGCGTGCTGTGAAGGATCAGAGGCAAGAAGAGGATGGCTGTCTTCGCATGGTTCCCTCTGCGAAGATGACGGACGACCTCCCACGTAGAGCGATGTCGTCCTGGTGAGCTAAGGCACGCCACAACAGGGGCATGAGTGGCCAAGGAGGACCGAGGTGGTATTTGTGCAGCATGTATGTAACATTGTACGGAGACTTTCCTGTGCAGGCATCGCACCGCATATCGCCGGAGTCATTCCTCGTGGTGGCCAAGAACTGGTGTGGCAGGTCTTGGCTCGCCGTCCATGGTAGTGCTCATGTTGGAGGCAGATAGATGGGGCACGAGAGGCGCCCCATGGTGAAGAGAGGATGGGAAGAAAAGAAAAAAGCGGCCCCCGACCAACCTGTCGGTCCGCGTCTGCCGCCGATTGTGATTTGTATCAGCTAAGGTAAGGTAGAGGCGTGGGCTGCATGCTGACGACCCTCGGCATTGCTGCGAAGCCCGTCGCCGAGAGAGAGACGTCCTTACTTCGAGGCATGCAGATTAGGAAGGACCGGCTTGCCTCCCTCTCGGCCGATTGCCATGATCTCTGATGATACGAGATCGAAATGGGGGCATGGGTTTGGCCGCGTGCTTTGGTGTCCGGCCTGTTCCATCGTGATGGGTGCAGAGGCAAAAACAGGACAAGCTCAAGCGTCAACCGTCTCCATTCTTCATACAAAAATCATGCCATACTCAGGCAGGCCGGGATCAAGCCGTGTCGGCCGATTGGAAGGACGACACGCCAAGCTCCATTCTGTTCGTCTTAACCAGCAGTGTTTGTGTCCTTGTAGACAGGCGGGGGCTTGTTTGCTAGAAATTGATGCATACAGTCCAGCATCAGGGGTCCCCTTCAGATCACCTACCGGATTCTGTGGAGATTGATATGATCCAAGGGGTAGCCACTTCTCGGACGGATCCAAGGGAATGGTCAACGTCTGGTGACTTGGTTGATGCTCGGCAATGGAGACTTGCGAACAGGATCCATAAAGGGCTCAATGGAAGGAAAAGACAGACAAGTCATTAGATGACCCGGCGGTGCTGAATGTCTCCCCCGGACCTCAGCTGAGACACCGTAGTCTTGGCCTCCCGACTACATGAACTTTGTTTCTTCTCGATAGCCTCTGGGAAACGAGCCCCGGTCGGAGAGACGACACACACACACACAGAGAGAGACCAGAAGTGAAAGAGGGGCAATCAATGCTGTGCTGTGTGGCCAGGGGTCGCTACGAAGAACCACACGAAGGCCCCTGCATGGCGAATGGGGAGCTGCAAGCCTGATCCCTGTCGGCAGTGCAACCGAGGTCGACCTTTTCCCCCGGTTCTAGTGACGGCCCACGCCAATCAGCCCAGCGCCACCCCTCCCGGAATCGATTCCGACATGGGACGGGAGATGGCCCCTTCCAGGCGTCGTGAGATTTACAAGTACCTCAGCGGCCTTCCGCCCCCCCCTGGCCTGAATCAGTGGAGGTGGCATTGCCACCCCTCGGCGGATGGCGCAATGCGAAGGTTGCCAAACCCTCGCCCTCTCTCCCCGAGGAAGGGCCCTGCTGGATGTGAGCCAGGGGAGAGAGCGGAGGGTCGCTGGCCTCGGGAGGCAGGGCTAGCGAACGGGCACCGTCGACTTTCTAGAGCCCGCAGAGAACAAAAACGGCGCGCCTACCTAAGTGGACAGACGTGTGCGGCCCGCTGATAGCGCACCCCCAGCTATTGTCACCAGTGCGTATTTTCATCGTCTGATGGTGGAGCGTGGAAGAAGGGGGGGCGCATTGTGGCAGTAAAGATTCTATCATACCGGGGCCGCGGGACTCAGGTGAGCTGCCACATGGAGGTGTTACCTTGGGCAGGGCGGGTTTTGCTGTGCCGCGTGGGAAGGGCAATAAGGAAACCTGAGTCGTTGGCACAGATCTGAACCAGATGGACGGGAAGATGAGGGGAGGGAATGAGCGAACGAACGGGCCGGGTGGGAGATGTGGCGCTTCATGTGGTGTGATCGGGAGTTGAGAGCGAGATAAACATTGAACCAACGACCAACTCCAATGGAACATCCACCAACAGCCAACGAAGCCAACGACCATCGGCTGACAAAACGACATCCAACTTGAGTGTCAAGAGGAACACCGCTACCGATCAATCCATTGATCAGTGGTGCTTCTTTTTGAGTGCCTCGGGGGTTCTGCGAAGGCCGTCGACCGACCATCGACCTACCAACTCGGCAGGTCGGCCGTCCAGGGCCTGGACACTCCCCTGCCCGCCGCGCTCTCCTTGCAGAAGCATGAGAGGAACATGGGGCTGCAGGTCGCAATCATCACATGCAGCCGGCGTAGAAGAAGCCGGGGCCAGCCAGGGGGCCCACGTACGGTACCTGGGCTTCATACCCTGTCATAGTACGAATATCTCGTGGTCCTCCGCTGCGCTGCTGCTGCGGCCTTCCGCGCTATAAGCAATAAGCTCTCCACGAGGGCAGAATACTGCCAGGCCCCTGCAGAGGCCATGTCCCCCCAATCAGCGATACTACAGGTTCGGCGGCATACGCCACGCCAGTTGGTGCTGGTTAAGTCCGCAACATCGGCGTTGTTCCTGGAATCCGGCCAAGGCACACGATCTCCTCATCTCCGGTGGGA